GGCAGCCGAGCCCGGCCCGGCCGAGCGGGGAGGAGCCGCGGGCGGCCAAGCCGGGCCGTCGCGCCGGCGCCGCTGGGAGAGGCCGGCGCGAAGGGAAAGGGGCCGGCGGCTGCGGCGGCCAATGCGAAACTGGCTGGTTCTGCTGTGCCCCTGTGTGGTCGGGGTCGCGCTGCACCTCTGGCTGCTGCTGAGCTGCCCCGGGAGCCACCCGGCAGGTAGGAGAGGGGCGGGCGGCGGCGGGTGCCTGGGGCATGCGGGCGGGCTGGGCTCCTCCACCCTCTCTCATCGGACGAGGAGAGGTCGGGGCTGGCGGGGCAGGGAACGGGGGCGGAGGCGAGGGGAGGGCCGGGGGGATGCTGTGGCCGGGGCAGCGGGAGCAGCGCCGGAGTGCCCGCGGGGTTCGTCTGGAGGGGAGGGAGCGTCTCGTACCGTGCAGCGGCGGGGAGCAGCGCAGGCTCCGCCGCCCGAAGCGGAGGCACCGATCGCGGTGGCGGTGCGGGGCTGCCGCGGGTGCGGAGCGGGGCAGCAGCTCCCGCTTCTGAGCGCCTGCTGCGCTACCGGTGCCCTCCCGCTCCCACCGAGGCACGTGGGGAAGAAATTCCCACCGATCCCGCTCGTGTCGCGTCATTCCCGGTCCTAGGAATAGCTCTTCGCACTGCGCTGTGTTTGCCTCGGCGGGCTTTAAAACCCCTGTGCTGCAAAAAGCTATTCATAGGACCGGGTGTCATCCAACACAAGTGAAATCCGAACCTTGAAGGCTTACCTTGTGCTCCTTATAAAATGAGGTGTAGTTTTCAGGCCGCAAATCTTCAAGCCTGAGGAAGCGGGCATCTATTGGAACAGAAACTTTTGTCAGCTGCCCACAGGTGCCGTTTGACGATGTTAGAAAATACTGTACATGAGCACGTAATGGTGGTTTTTTACTTGGGGTGTGCTTGGAGCTGTTTAGTGACCCAGTAGCCTGTTCAGTAATGGACCCACGCTGCAACTGGTGCCTGTTTGTCGTGCAGGGTGTGCACAGCTGTGAGGAAACAAGAGTCTGCTGATTGCCAGTGGCAATTAATAGTGCAAATATGCAAGAAGCAATTGCACTATTGCATAGCCCGAAGGCTGCAGAGTTGTATAGGTGTCTGTCTGTATTCCGGCTTTTGCATAATCACATCAGCAGCAGTCGCACTTGAATGATAAAAGAAAGGGAGGTATAATTATTGAACTTCTAGCATGATGTGTGTTTGAATTGCCTGGTTGGTTTTGTTCATCTTTCACGGTGCCGTTTCAGAGCTTCAGAGCATTAATTTGGAGTTAGAAGTGGCAGTATGGAATCTCGTGATGGCCTTTCCCAAGTAAATGTGTTTTCCACTAACAAACATTTCAAAAGAAAATCCAGAAGTTTCTCAGTTGGTGTTGGTGTGAATGAGTGATTGAGGTCACTTAAATAATCACTGTTAAAGGTATTGGCAAAAGTAGGAGTAACACAAATTTGTAAAATAGCAGCTTAAGAAACTTGTATATCGAGGTTCTCTCTGTTGCTTACTGCATGGACTAAATGTCCCAAGAAAACTCCAGCTAGAATTAATTTAGAATGATTTACACAGAGATCAAAGACTCAAATGGATAAGGGTTGACTGTGGTTGAGTTACAGCGTTCAGTGTGGATCCCCTTGCTTTTTAAACTCCTAACGAAGCTTAGGTGCAGCGAAGTCCAGTCTTGGTCTCCAACTTCATCAGAGGTTTGTATCTAAATGAATTAGCAGCACTTAATGACTAATTTAACAAAGTGATTTTCCTTTCCTAGAAGTGAGTACCGTGGGTGAGAAATTATAGGAAATCTAGGTATATGTTTCCTCCAGTGCCCAAAGTATCCATAAGCTGCTGTTATTCTTTTTTTTTTTTTTTATTTGGTAGTCTTTGGATTGAGAGTGCAGGGACTGCACAAAGTACACGCACTGTACCCCCGGTTTCTGTTAGATTTAGGGGCAAGATTTGGACCAAAGGGCCGCACATTGCCGACCACCGGGTGCCAGGCTTGGATATTCAAAATATTGAAACCCAAAGTATTTCCATTGTGAACTTCCACTGCAAAGCAAGTAGACAACATTCGCTTCTTGCCCAGAGCCATAAATTAACTTTTGTGGTTTGTCAAATAACACTTGCTCCATTCACTGCAGTGGTTTTAAAACTCTCTGCTGTCCAAGTTGTACACCTAGCTTCTCAGCATCCTGTTGCATTTATATTGAAATTTGTGCTCCTGTATCTTTAGGTAATTTCGTCAGTTGTTGAAGGCCAAAAGGAATGAGAATGTGTTTTGCTTTAGTGATGTGTCTGAGCTCATATTCAGAGGAATCTGAGGGTAACAAAGAATCAGCTTTCCTCAGTTTGCTGTCATCAGGGTCATCCCATATGTTCCCATCCCATTCTTCAGGGGATATCATTAATTTCCTAATTATACAATGTCAGGAGGATGGAAAGCCCACATAAACATAAATCTGATGTTTTCCTCTGACTTTTTTTTTTTATAATTTTCTTCCCTTAACTGATTTTGCAGCTGCTCCATTTTCAAAGACAGTATTAATTCAGTTGCCTTTAGGAGTTTTATTTCTTCCTTTAGGTATAGTACCCTTTTATTGTTCTTGCTATCTTGATAAGCAGCTTCTAACTAGGTTCCTAGCATTTTGCAAATAATTCCTTTTCCATCCTTTATCTGGCTCCAGCCACCTTTAGCTGTCATTTCACAGCTGTACAATCATGCCAGTTAACACAACCCCGTTCTTCTGAGAATTTGGAACTTGGACTTATTCTATGCTTTCTTAAGTAATCTGTGCTTCTATTTGACATCCAGTCAAAACATGCCAATTTGTCACAAATGAGTGGTTTAGGTTGCTTAAAGAATTGCTGTCAAAGGTAGTAGCAAAACCAGGTATCACCTGGATTTAACCTGAGCTCACAACTGAGCACCTTGCAGCCAACTCACTCATTTCCTGCTGTCCCCCACTGCTGCAGTGGGATGGGGAGGAGGATCAGGGGGAGAAAAAAAAAACCAAAAATACCCTCATGGATTGAGAAAGGAAGAGCTGAGTTAGAATTCATTTAGAATGATTTACACAGAGGCTAAAGATGCAAAAGGTTAAGGGAGACCCTCATGTTGAGTCAGAGTGAACCCCCTTTCTAAACTCTTTCTAAACTCCCATTAAACTAGCTGAGGTGCAGCTAGGTCCAGTCTTAGTCTCAGACTTGGTCGACAATCAGTGTCTAAAGGATTTAGCAGCACTTAATCATTGACTAACTTAACATCTACAAAGTGATAGGATTTACTATAATTGCTACAGTGACTTCATTATACATCCGAGACAACAACATTCATGCTATACTGGCAGGAGAGTATCTAAGTCAGTCCACACATGCATGCATACTGACACAAAGAGATATATTTATATATAGGGATATATGGGTATCAATGTGTGGAGGTATACCTGTTAAAAATTCCCCTGGAGTTCAGTGAAATGCCCGCTTGGCATTTCTCAGTGGGAAAAGGCTGAGCCTCAAGGAGTGGAAGGTTTCAGCCCAGGCCCTCTCATCAATTTTGGGTGCTGATCCTCAGAACTTTGCAAACTGTAGAGTCTGTGAGCTCCGAGAGGCATCCTACTCAGAGAGTCGCTGGTGACAGCCTGCTGTGGTCCAGGAGAGCCAAAGGGCTTCACTCAAGACCAGTTTTTAGGGTTCTTTAGATGTTTGGCTTTAGTCATCCATAAATTTCCACCCTGAGCACAGTCTTGGTTGGTAATTGCTGGAATTTTCAAAAATCCAGTAACTATGGAGTCTATTCCACTCAGGGTGCAGTTCAGGTAAGGAATGTTCCAGGCCTGTCAGGGGATGTCTGACTACTCCTGCTGTCATTCCTTCCTTGATCAGGCAACAGGAGTTCCTTCCCATGGTCAGTGTTGCCCTCACCTTAACCATGGTGGGGCTGGTTCCTGGTCCAGTCAAGGGACACTTCACTGCCCAGCTCATTACAGAAAGGCCTGATATGAATTTCTGAGGTAGAGCAGTGCTGAGGAGAGGGAGGAAGGCACCACTTGGAAGTTGGGGAAGGAGAGAAGTAGCTTTGCTCTTCATAATTTCCCTGTTTCAAGCAGCAAGGTTTTACAGTAATGAACACCAACTCCAATTTGGAGTTGGTGTTCATTATTGTAAAACCTTGCTGCACTGGATAATGTTAGGCTAACTAGGATTTTTAATAAGTGGGGTTTTTTTTAATACTGAAAGAGCAAGTGTATGGTTTCTGTGCAGGGTTTATTTAGTTGTAAACAAATACTATTGTAAAGCTACTATTGAGTAATGTACTCACGCTGAGGAGAGGACTAACGATGCCTCCTCTACAATGAGAACATATGTCATCCCTAGGAAAATGCTCAGTATTGTACATGTGTTGTCTTTTTGTAGGCCCAATCCTTGCATGGTATTTAAGGAAGAATCTGTCTCTTAGCTTTCAAAGTACCACAAAATGTACAAGATGTAGGCATGGCTGCCTTGGCAGAAGAAAGAAGGATGAGCCAAGGGACCTCAGATGTCTTTTGTGTTGTTTTTTTTTTTATTATTCAGAGTGTTTTAGGAACATCAGTGAATTTGTATACAAGAGGAAGAAATGTTTTAAAATTTATTAAAATGTATTAAATTTATTAAAAGGCTTCTTGAATCTGAAACTACTTAAGAGAATCTGGTAATGCCTGATAAAGCCAGTCTTGTTTCACTCGAGTAATTTTTTTTCCTTGTTTACTACTTCAGCTGCTCTTTACTACCGATCATCTGGAATCCCTGGTGTGAATGAAAAGTAAATCTTATCATGGGGCAATGTTTTGCAATAGCTGTGACATAAAAATGCATAATTTGTATATTCTCTGGTACTTCTGTACAGTTGTGTACAATAGTTGTGTGCTATCTCAACAGTTGCAGAATTAGCTACCAGTAGAGGTCCATGAAGAGTGAACAGCAGTTCTGTTTTTTGAGGAGGTTAATTACCCTCCCTAATAATCATCACCACACCTTCAAATGGAAATCTGTCAAAAAGTTGATAACCTGTTTTAGTCATTATTTACCTTGGCTTCATTGACTCACTCAAGATTGGAATAGACATTGCCAGCCATCAATTCTGCTTACTATTTCTATTAAGCAGCTCTTGGTTTCTGTCATAAAATGGCAGGTGGGCAGCCTACATTTAT